TCGAGGAAATGAATGCTTTTATCGACGAATTGGATATTATCATATGAGAAGACATTTGGGAAAATAGGGAATACTCAGATGTAAGCGGAAATTTGTGTGATTCCCACGCACTTCATTCCTCCTCATCAGTCAGATTCCCTATTTTCTTTATCATCTGGGTCCTCATCATCTCCACCACCGGACTTCTCTTGTACTTTCTTGCATTTTTCCATACACTCCGCATACGATGGACATGTTTTCTTTGATATTTGCAGAAGGAACTCAAATATCTCCTTCTCATTTTCATTGTTTTCTTTCCTTTTACCCTGCTCCCTCTTTCCCTGTTGTTCCTTTCCCTTCTCCATCTCTTTATCGACTGAGATCTGCTTAATTGCATAAAGTTCCTAGAAAAGGTCATTCAAACGACCGGCCACCTCGCTTTTATGCTCTTTCTGCCAGCAATCACGCACAAATTGGCTCGTGATATCTTTTTACCGCCTATTCTTATGCTCAGACACTGTGATACCTCCGGGTGATCTATTAGTGCACCGCATCTATACTTTGTTCACATTCCATTCTCGTGCTCATTTCACGCGCTCATGCTTCAGTAGTCGTCTATCACTACCTTATCATAAGAGTCTACCTTGACCCTACTTCTGTGCCTGCTCCAAATACCATCCTGATCCATTACCTTTTTTCCTGTAAAGTGTACTTCTCAGCGAATGCCGGGTGCCCATTAACTTATATATTTGATATGGCTGATAGGCCACTTCCTTTTGTAATATAGCATAGAGTAAGGGTTGCATATTTAGATAGCATGTATCTGGGAGCAGTGTCAAATTCACCCATGGTAATGAAAAACTTAACCAACCCCAAGCTTTAGATGGGTGGATACTTGGCCGTATGTAGAATGCGACAGTAATAGCATATTTCCGGTTGCGCAGTGGGACACTGTCTTCAAACCATAAGGTCAGTTCAAAGAGACACCTCGAATCCTGGAACGTCGTTTTGATGGCACCCATTTTGGCCTAGATAATTTACCTTTGGGTTGGTGGATGGGGTAACCCTCGATTTCGCTGAAAACTGAGGGAGTTTTCATCTAACTCCTTCACGTCATGACATTCTGATATCACCATATCATGAAGCTTTATTTAGCCACCCTGATGTAACTTGTCTGACTGTTAATAAAATCTAAGTAAAGGTAGGGCTCACAATCCTATTAACTACGAAATAGCTGCCCTGAAAACCTTCATTCCGTCTTGGAAATAGGACATGATCTTGCAGCAAATGAATCGCTAAGCTCTATTGGTAACAGAGGTACTGCTGTCGTTGTAGACCATGAGTTTAATACCCTTTCGTCATTAGGCAACGGTGGCCCAATAAAGTCGCAAATTCTGTGGCTCGCATATCCACAGATAGTCTGTTATGAATACCCAAAGTCCAGTAAAGAAGAAATGCACCAAATTCTCTTCTTGCTTCAGCAAGCCATTTTACCCAGACCAATTTTCAGGCTCAAAAGAGGCGACCGTATAGAAGGAGTAGTTTTTGTGAGAACAGGCATTTTAGGATATCACTGCTCAAACTCCGGACCCGGATTAAAAATTTTTATTAGTTGGAAAATGGAGGGATTAGAGGCCGCGGTGAGAAGCGCCGTCCATTATTACATCAGCCAAACGGTTCAAAGGACGATGCTAAAATCCTTAGGCTCTATTACGTTATTGCGTCGGTGGGACAGTGTTCTACGTATAAAACTCCACTTGACAAAAGAAAGTTCCCACGAAGAAGCGAAACCATGCATTGGCGAGATATTGCCGCTACACGAATCTCGAACAATACCAGACTGACTTATAAATGTGCCCTTCTTAAGTAAAGTTGTTTACTATGTGTTCATGGACACCCACGTTGGGTACTGCTTTTCTTTGAGTCAAAGTATCCAGTAGCCCTGCTCAGCGATCGTTTCCACACAAGGCGTCATCATCATCACCAAGTATTTTTATGAGGCAAATGGATACACGCCTGCAAACCTACCTGTTTGCCTGTCTATTTGATATTCCTATCCTACTACCATATTCTGCATACAGCCATGGGACTACATAGCCATGGGACCGTAAAGCTATGCACCGACCCATCCAAAGCCTGAATCTGGTTAAGTTTTTCATTATTATGAGTCGATTCGATACAGCTTCCAGATGTCAACAATTTAGCCATCCACCTACTGCCTTATGCTGTAATGCGAAACAGGGTGGGGTCTGTTAGCAGTTTATGGGTTCATAGCGCAGGAAGCAGTGTTATCCACTGGGAAGTGGGGTAAGAGTAGGGTCAAGATAGATGCTGATTTTAAGGTAGGACTAGGTGACAACTGCGGCAAGAACACGTGAATTGAGCGTGAGAGTAGAATGCGAACAAAGAATGGATGCGGTGCACAAATAGATCACCTGAAGATATCACAATGCCTCAGCACAAGAATATGCGTGTGATTACCGGTAGAGTATTAAAGCGAGGTAGGTGGTCACCCGAGACAGCCATCTAAAGGGCTCGAATGTATGCAAGAAGAACTCAGTTAATGAGAAGAAGATGGAAAAGGGGATGAAAGAAGGAGAGGGGCAGGAACAGCCGACCAGGAAGGCAGATAGTAAAAGTAATAGATGCAAAAGAAAGCGTGAAGATTTCCTGGAGATTATCTCAAAAATAGCAAGACAAATATATGAACAAATTGCTGAGTTCTTTGAGAAGTGGCTACCTAAAGCAGAGGAAGAGGAGCAGCCGATTGATGAACGAGATGGAAAAAAGCCAGGTGATGGAGAGGAGAATTCTGGTGAAGGAAAGGGCGAGACACAAGATAATAAAGAAGAGGAAGAAACTTTTAAAGGAGAAAGGGACAAGTTGCTAGGCGAAGAAGGTGGAGAAACATCCGATGAAATGGAAAAGGGCAAGAAGCCAGATGATGAAGAAGACGAGGAGTCTCGTGATGGAGGAAAGGGAAAGGAAGACGATAAAGAGGAGGAACATGGTGAAAAGGGAAACGTCAAGAAGTCGAGGAAATGAATGCTTTTATCGACGAATTGGATATTATCATATGAGAAGACATTTGGGAAAATAGGGAATACTCAGATGTAAGCGGAAATTTGTGTGATTCCCACGCACTTCATTCCTCCTCATCAGTCAGATTCCCTATTTTCTTTATCATCTGGGTCCTCATCATCTCCACCACCGGACTTCTCTTGTACTTTCTTGCATTTTTCCATACACTCCGCATACGATGGACATGTTTTCTTTGATATTTGCAGAAGGAACTCAAATATCTCCTTCTCATTTTCATTGTTTTCTTTCCTTTTACCCTGCTCCCTCTTTCCCTGTTGTTCCTTTCCCTTCTCCATCTCTTTATCGACTGAGATCTGCTTAATTGCATAAAGTTCCTAGAAAAGGTCATTCAAACGACCGGCCACCTCGCTTTTATGCTCTTTCTGCCAGCAATCACGCACAAATTGGCTCGTGATATCTTTTTACCGCCTATTCTTATGCTCAGACACTGTGATACCTCCGGGTGATCTATTAGTGCACCGCATCTATACTTTGTTCACATTCCATTCTCGTGCTCATTTCACGCGCTCATGCTTCAGTAGTCGTCTATCACTACCTTATCATAAGAGTCTACCTTGACCCTACTTCTGTGCCTGCTCCAAATACCATCCTGATCCATTACCTTTTTTCCTGTAAAGTGTACTTCTCAGCGAATGCCGGGTGCCCATTAACTTATATATTTGATATGGCTGATAGGCCACTTCCTTTTGTAATATAGCATAGAGTAAGGGTTGCATATTTAGATAGCATGTATCTGGGAGCAGTGTCAAATTCACCCATGGTAATGAAAAACTTAACCAACCCCAAGCTTTAGATGGGTGGATACTTGGCCGTATGTAGAATGCGACAGTAATAGCATATTTCCGGTTGCGCAGTGGGACACTGTCTTCAAACCATAAGGTCAGTTCAAAGAGACACCTCGAATCCTGGAACGTCGTTTTGATGGCACCCATTTTGGCCTAGATAATTTACCTTTGGGTTGGTGGATGGGGTAACCCTCGATTTCGCTGAAAACTGAGGGAGTTTTCATCTAACTCCTTCACGTCATGACATTCTGATATCACCATATCATGAAGCTTTATTTAGCCACCCTGATGTAACTTGTCTGACTGTTAATAAAATCTAAGTAAAGGTAGGGCTCACAATCCTATTAACTACGAAATAGCTGCCCTGAAAACCTTCATTCCGTCTTGGAAATAGGACATGATCTTGCAGCAAATGAATCGCTAAGCTCTATTGGTAACAGAGGTACTGCTGTCGTTGTAGACCATGAGTTTAATACCCTTTCGTCATTAGGCAACGGTGGCCCAATAAAGTCGCAAATTCTGTGGCTCGCATATCCACAGATAGTCTGTTATGAATACCCAAAGTCCAGTAAAGAAGAAATGCACCAAATTCTCTTCTTGCTTCAGCAAGCCATTTTACCCAGACCAATTTTCAGGCTCAAAAGAGGCGACCGTATAGAAGGAGTAGTTTTTGTGAGAACAGGCATTTTAGGATATCACTGCTCAAACTCCGGACCCGGATTAAAAATTTTTATTAGTTGGAAAATGGAGGGATTAGAGGCCGCGGTGAGAAGCGCCGTCCATTATTACATCAGCCAAACGGTTCAAAGGACGATGCTAAAATCCTTAGGCTCTATTACGTTATTGCGTCGGTGGGACAGTGTTCTACGTATAAAACTCCACTTGACAAAAGAAAGTTCCCACGAAGAAGCGAAACCATGCATTGGCGAGATATTGCCGCTACACGAATCTCGAACAATACCAGACTGACTTATAAATGTGCCCTTCTTAAGTAAAGTTGTTTACTATGTGTTCATGGACACCCACGTTGGGTACTGCTTTTCTTTGAGTCAAAGTATCCAGTAGCCCTGCTCAGCGATCGTTTCCACACAAGGCGTCATCATCATCACCAAGTATTTTTATGAGGCAAATGGATACACGCCTGCAAACCTACCTGTTTGCCTGTCTATTTGATATTCCTATCCTACTACCATATTCTGCATACAGCCATGGGACTACATAGCCATGGGACCGTAAAGCTATGCACCGACCCATCCAAAGCCTGAATCTGGTTAAGTTTTTCATTATTATGAGTCGATTCGATACAGCTTCCAGATGTCAACAATTTAGCCATCCACCTACTGCCTTATGCTGTAATGCGAAACAGGGTGGGGTCTGTTAGCAGTTTATGGGTTCATAGCGCAGGAAGCAGTGTTATCCACTGGGAAGTGGGGTAAGAGTAGGGTCAAGATAGATGCTGATTTTAAGGTAGGACTAGGTGACAACTGCGGCAAGAACACGTGAATTGAGCGTGAGAGTAGAATGCGAACAAAGAATGGATGCGGTGCACAAATAGATCACCTGAAGATATCACAATGCCTCAGCACAAGAATATGCGTGTGATTACCGGTAGAGTATTAAAGCGAGGTAGGTGGTCACCCGAGACAGCCATCTAAAGGGCTCGAATGTATGCAAGAAGAACTCAGTTAATGAGAAGAAGATGGAAAAGGGGATGAAAGAAGGAGAGGGGCAGGAACAGCCGACCAGGAAGGCAGATAGTAAAAGTAATAGATGCAAAAGAAAGCGTGAAGATTTCCTGGAGATTATCTCAAAAATAGCAAGACAAATATATGAACAAATTGCTGAGTTCTTTGAGAAGTGGCTACCTAAAGCAGAGGAAGAGGAGCAGCCGATTGATGAACGAGATGGAAAAAAGCCAGGTGATGGAGAGGAGAATTCTGGTGAAGGAAAGGGCGAGACACAAGATAATAAAGAAGAGGAAGAAACTTTTAAAGGAGAAAGGGACAAGTTGCTAGGCGAAGAAGGTGGAGAAACATCCGATGAAATGGAAAAGGGCAAGAAGCCAGATGATGAAGAAGACGAGGAGTCTCGTGATGGAGGAAAGGGAAAGGAAGACGATAAAGAGGAGGAACATGGTGAAAAGGGAAACGTCAAGAAGCCAGACGACGAAGCAGAGGAAAAACCTAGTAGAGGGGAAAATGATGGGGGAAAAGGCGATGAAGATGAAGATAATCGTGGTGAGGGAGCAAAGGACGAGGAGTTAGGAGAGAAGAAAGCTGATATAAAGAGAAATGATGAGAAGTCGGACGATAAAGAAGAGGAGGAAGCTGGTGAAGAAGCAACGAATGAGGAGTCAGGAGAGGAGAAAGCTGATGTAGAGGGAAATGATGAGAAGTCGGACGATAAAGAAGAGGAGGAAGCTGGTGAAGGAGTAACGAATGAGGAGTCAGGAGAGGAGAAAGCTGATGTAGAGGGAAATGATGAGAAGTCGGACGATAAAGAAGAGGAGGAAGCTGGTGAAGGAGTAACGAATGAGGAGTCAGGAGAGGAGAAAGCTGATGTAGAGGGAAATGATGAGAAGTCGGACGATAAAGAAGAGGAGGAAGCTGGTGAAGAAGCAACGAATGAGGAGTCAGGAGAGGAGAAAGCTGACGAAGAGCGAAAAGAGAAGTCGGGGGATGAAGGTGAAGAGGATGATGGTGAAGGAGCAAGGGGCAGAAAATCAGGCGAAGAGGAGGAAACATCCGGTGAATAATGGAAGGACGAGAAGCCAGGTGATAAAAGAGGGGAGAAACCAAATCAGGGAGAAAAGAAGTAGAGGCCACGTCATAAAGGATTGGTGAAATCCCTTGAATGAAAAGGTAGAGATGCCAGGAGAACAACAGAGAGGAAACGTGGCAAATGAGGAAACCAGAAACTAGGCAATGAAGAAACGGCAAAACCTGGTGAATGAGGCAATGGATCGCAACCCGCATAGCCATAAGGAGTTGGGAAGTTAGGCAAAGTTGGAAATGGATTGGGTGAAAAATACAACAATTGTCATCCACACTTGGAGACCTACTTCGTTTCTCAAATGTCCGCCCTCTTGAATACCTTGAATGCGTCGATAAAGCGTTCATGAACTTTGGGAATCTTAGCATAATTAGCTCTCCACGTAGGTTTTCCAATATATATGTATTTTTGTACGTATGTAATCCTTTTTATGTTGTTATTATATACGTCGAGAATACCCTCCACCGCGGTTTTACCTTTTCCTCAAGTTGATTCCACTCTTTAACATACTCCCTTACTATTTTTTATTGAGATGCTCACATTTGTCACCAATTTTTGCGCCTAGATGCATTCAATGCATGGAAGCGTAACTAGTATTTACTGGGTTTGTGGAGTTGCAGTGAATTCTCCTTGAGATTGGCCAATTCATTACCTGGTCACTTCGCATGGATTAATTCGCTGTGATTGATGTATATGCTAATTCACGAAGGTCGTGAGGGTAGGCTGTGGGGATGGTAAGTGGGATCGATGATGTGAAGCGCGTTCAGGGGAATGGCACGTCGAAGTGGGACATGATAAGTTACGCCCTTAATAGTATAGGCCTGCGTTAGGTCTCTGTGCTAGAGAAAAATTATGTAAGAATTTAAGTGAACACAGGAAGCTCGAAAGAATGCGCATGCTTAGAGCCTGACATATATGGAGCATGGGATATTATTGTGGATGTAAGACTTGATGGGGTGCGAAGCGGAATTCTATTTGCAGTATTATTCAAATGTCTAGATTGCTTGAGTAAAATAGGGATGGATGGATAGAGAGTTGCTGATATTGTTATAAGTGGAAGTTTCCTGTTTTCGATAGTTTTATTGGCAGTTGACGGGAGCAACAAAGAACAGACTAAGTATACATATGTGCGAAAATCTATGTATATTCGGATTTTGCCAGATAGAGGAGGATAGATAAATGGTGAGATAAAAGAGTAGGTGTTCAAAAATGCAGGAGTGGTAGGGCTCAGCTCGGGAATGGGCTCTAGCCCAGTGTCCGACTGGAAGGAAAAAGCCCAATGGGGGGAAAATAAGAAATTTGTTGCTCACATTGACCTATATGATCGCTGCGTTGGTAGTAAACCCTTTCACTCTCCAATTGGACTAATTTGACTACCCTCAAACACCAACCATGTTACCCCTTACCAGATCTCCAATAGGTCACCTACAATTTGCATTAACAACAAATCAGGCGCTCAAGTCGAACCATACCGTCCTGTTGAATTCCGACTTGCTTTAATTATCTAACGAACTAAATTTTCACTTATTAGAAGGCGTTGTGTATTGTAGGAACAAGATTATTAACAAATCATCACACTGTCATCGGTAGTGCTTCAGCTCACGATGGTGTACGTCCAAATTCTAATGCTATTTGTCACCCGTTTCACCTAAGCAATTTATTTCACTTGGAACTCATGAAATAAATCCTGCTATTTATTCTACTGATCTGGATAGCTGCAATGAATTTTCGTCTACATTTGAAATTACACAACCTCAAAGTATTTAAGGCGCAAAAAATGCCTCTGTGTCAGATTAAACGATCTGTCAGCACTTGAAATAGTATATGAACCGGACGTCAAACTAATCGCATTTACCACAAAACATACTGGAATGGCTATCATACTCAGTCACACCAAACTATGCATTTTTGAGAGAAATTATAATCCTATAAGAAGCTCAGACTGGGAATGAATGTCTGCGATTTCCTCCTAGAAGACTATCCGACAATGTGCGGTATGTCCTGCAGACCTATTTACGCCATTTGTGAGTATTTGCGAGGAAGGAGGTGAACAGACTTTGCCTTCTTTACCTACTTCTTGAAGCTTACGAAATTATACATTCATCACATTACTACTTTTCGGTTTGTCCAACCAAAGAGCATGACTTACACAGTTCAAGTTTTATTTTTGCCTCAGAATTCTCACATCGGAGGCTACTTGGTTTTACGAAGACGCCCACTTAACTGGAGAAGCTGTAGTTTGAGAACCCACCAAATACACTCAAAGCATAATTTCTGGGACACACACGCAACACTGACGACAACCAGGTCCATCACAGTACTCTTATCCTTGACTAGATCGACATAGGTCAATGACTCCATCTTTAGATATTTGCAATCAAACTCTTCGGTTCTCCATTTTGCACCTTCCGAATTCCAAAAAATCGACAGAAAAATTGCGAAGGCGATAAACAAGATACACGAATGTCAGTTTACCATGAAAATACACCTAGATTTAATGAATCAGTTCTAACCTTCCTACATAATTTACTAATTCAGTTCCTACGAAAGCAGATACACGCGATTAAGCTATAAATTAACGCATAAATCGGTACGAGACTTCGCTTCATCTCTCGTTTCTGCAAGCACACCCTTCGCTCTCCTACTCCTAGTGATACTAGACATTATTACTGCCGGTTTGATAAAAAATGCCAGAAAAAAGCACTTCCCCTTTCTCGCATTCGTCATCCAAGTCGCAACCAGGATTACCAACATATCAACTAGGATTGGCGGCAGCTGCTACTGGACGCATTCTTCGTTGATCTAACACCAGCGATAGCAAGAATATAAAACAGCGTCTGAATCTAAATAATCGTTTATATACAATAATAACTAAGCAAATAATAATATATTTTAATTACTCCACATACCTGCTAAACAATAAATTCATTTTACCGTTCCTTGTTTCATATACAATGGAGATTATACAAAGACGAAAGAAACAAATTGCAAGAACAGCTTGAATGCCTATACTTAAACAGTTTTGCGGAGAGCAGTCTAAAAAAAGAACATGAGTAGTTTAGAACCGTTTGGTGTGCATTACCATCCTAACAAAACAGGGTCATCTTGAATGGATCAACGAAACAGGCTTCCTTGAACCTATACTCAGCCCCGCTAACCTTTCTCAATAATCTTGCTCTTGCCGAAGTAGTCTATTTGTTTGAAGGCTAGGCAGGAATAGATAAACGATGAGCCCGCTTGAGAAGAGCTGAGTCTATCAGCACAGACCAGAGGGGATGGCTGTGTGCGTAAATACAAAGTTGGGGTCTTAGTGACCATGTAACTAAATTAGAGTTAAGCAATCAGAGAATTACCAAAGGACCATGAATACGTAGTAGTACATGCGCCAAGCACCATGGTCTTCGAGGCATGCTAGTAGTCAGGCAGCCTTTATACGGTTAATAATGTGTGCTCTTCAGGGTATTTCGGCTTGCGGCAACCTCCAGAAAGACCCCAGGGGCTGTAATCACTACAGATTCAACGAATTACGACTAAATTAAGCGGCATGTTCCTCCACTTAGCCTGTTCATTTTATTGCGGAAATGTTAGACAAGTTGCTGTTTGTTTTTAACATCACATCATACATAAGGTATGGTTGCGCGTGACAACTCCCTTCGCGACCAAGGAAGACATTATATGTATTGTTGACATACGGAAGAGATTAGGACTACTGGCATTATTAAATGCAGTCTACCCAGAAAGGGATAAGTACAATGAGGTGGTTGCCTATTTACCTCTCGGTTTCAGCAATAGAGCTATTTTAGGTCTCTGCTATTGCATTTTTGCCTGCTGGACTAGTCTGTGGGCCGTGTTATCAGCCCCAAGCCCTACT